TTTTAACTTTTTAGGAATGACTATGACCTGGATGACTGAGAATCTCCACCAGCCTATGTCAAACCTGAAAGCCTCTGACCTTTGCCCTCTGCAGACGTCTCTGTCATCAAGCAGCGCCTCATCAGCCTGTCGTCTCCAGAGGAGAAACTAGAGGAGCTGCTCCAGAAGTACAGCGAGCTGGTGAGGACGTCCTCCGTCTCCAGGCATCAGGAGCAGATCGACACACTAGCTAACGGCGTGTCTGTGTGTCTGCAGGTGGCGCTGCGGCGCGCCGAACAGCAGAGGGTGACGTGTCTGCAGCAGAAGCTCTGCGTCCTGCAGGCCGAGCGCCGCTGCGGCGCCGCAGCTCGCAGCCAACTGGAGGACCTCTGCAGAGATCTACAGGCTCACTACAGCACGCTGAGGGTACGGATCATCTGGTTCTGCTCCATGATCAGGAACTGAACCTGGATAGAGGAGAGCAGGAGGCGGGGTTACCAATCTACTCGCTCTGGAGAGCAGAGTTCGCTGCTTTTAGATGTTGTCTCCAAAGTCTCCAGTAGCAGAAAAAAGTCTCTAGATTTAGCGCTAGGAGCTTTTTAGAAATCAAAGTGCAGCGGCTCCTCCTTCTTCTCCTCCTGGTTTAGCAGCTAGTTTGAGAGGGAAACTGATAAAACTGACTAAGTCTAATAAACGTTAGTGTTTAGATTCTTCCTTAATGTTCCAGAATAATCTCAGATTATTTCTGGCCTCATATTCAGCAGCTGTAACTCTAAATGTTACTGCGCTTTTCTTCAGCATCAGATCTTCTCTCCATCAGTTTTCGTTCTCACCATGGATGATCAGCTCTGACATGTTTCTCCTGCAGGAGGAGACGCTGCGGCGCTGCAGGGAGGATGAGGAGAAGAGGAGCGACATCACCAGCCACTTCCAGGAGATGCTGACGGAGATCCAGGCTCAGATCGAGCAGCACAGCGCCCGCAACGACAAGCTGTGCCACGAGAACGCCAACCTGACCGACAAACTGGAGAGCCTGATGAACCAGTACGAGCGCCGGGAGGAGGTGAGAGGAAGAGGAGGAAGAGGAGGAGGGAAACATCAGGAAGTGTTTCTAGACTTTAAAGTTAGGAAGAAACGGAAATATATCAAATCTGAATGTGTGTCTGATGCTGCTGCTACAGAGAGGAGTTCATTTCCAGCCTTTTAATAAAACCAGATCAGCAGCTGTCGGCTTTCTGGAGCATCACTGAGGAAATGTTTTCATCTCCTGCAGAGTTTGGATAAAATCAACAAGCACCGAGATCTGCAGCACAAACTGACCGAGGCCAAACTGCAGCAGGCCAACGCTCTGCTGGCTGAGGCCGAGGAGAAGCACAAGAGGGAGAAGGAATACGTGAGTCAATCCAGCTGAAAGTCCTCTGTATGGAGCCAGATTAGGGCCATAATGTTTAATCTAAAACACATAGAGCCAGATTAGGGACATAACGTTTAATCTAGAACGCATAGAGCCAGATTAGGGCCATAAAGTTTATTCTAGAACACATAGAGCCAGATTAGGGACATAAAGTTTATTCTAGAACACATAGAGCCAGATTA